TGGCCTCTCCTATCATTGCTACGCAGACGACACACAACTATTCTTCTCCTTTCCCCCTTCTGATAACCAGGTGGCGAATCGCATCTCTGCATGTCTGGCAGACATATCAGTATGGATGACGGATCACCACCTCAAGCTGAACCTTGGCAAGACGGAGCTGCTCTTCCTCCAGGGGAAGGACTGCCCGTTCCATGATCTCGCCATCACGGTTGACAACTTCGTTGTGTCCTCCTCCCAGAGTGCAAAGAGCCTTGGCGTGACCCTGGACAACACCCTGTCGTTCTCCGCTAACATCAAGGCGGTGACCCGATCCTGTAGGTTCATGCTCTACAACTTTCGGAGAGTACGACCCTGCCTTACACAGGAAGTGGCACAGGTCCTAATCCAGGCACTTGTCATCTCCCGTCTGGATTACTGCAACTCGCTGTTGGCTGGGCTCCCTGCCTGTGCCATTAAACCCCTACAACTCATCCAGAATGCCGCAGCCCGTCTGGTGTTCAACCTTCCCAAGTTCTCTCACGTCACCCCGCTCCTCCGCACACTACACTGGCTTCCAGTTGAAGCTCGCATCTACTACAAGACCATGGTGCTTGCCTAAGGAGCTGTGAGGGGAACGGCACCGCCGTACCTTCAGGCTCTGATTAGTCCCTACACCCAAACGAGGGCATTGCGTTCATCCACCTCTGGCCTGCTGGCTCCCCTACCTCTGCTGAAGCACAGTTCCCGCTCAGCCCAGTCAAAACTGTTCGCTGCTCTGGCACCCCAATGGTGGAACAAGCTCCCTCACGACGCCAGGACAGCGGAGTCACTCACCACCTTCCGGAGACATTTGAAACCCCACCTCTTTAAGGAACACCTGGGATAGGATAAAGTAATCCTTCTAACCCCCCCCCCCCCCTTACCCCCCCCCACAAAAAAAAATGTGTAAAGTGGTTATCCCACTGGCTATAAGGTGAATGCACCAATTTGTAAGTCGCTCTGGATAAGAGCGTCTGCTAAATGACGTAAATGTAAATGTAGTGTGTGTGCGTGCGCATCTATCAGTTACACATACATGTCAGTACATACACACAACAAGTAGGTCACATGGGGGAGAGAGAGAGAGAGAGAGAGAGAAGAGAGGAAGAGGAAATAGATAGGCAGAGAGAGAGAGAGAGAGAGAGAAAAAGAGAGAGGACAGAGAGAGAGAGAGAGAGAGAGAGAGAGAGAGAGGAGAGAGAGAGGAGAGAGAGAGAGAGAGAGAGAGATTTGTGTTGGCAGAGAGCAGTTGTCTAATGGAGTCCTTCACTCAGCTCTGGGTGGAAATGAAAGGGGTTTAGGCCTCGCCAATTATTCTGCCTGAGTGGAGGAAGAGACGTCAAGAGGGCGAGCGTAGCCGTGGCACTGGATCGCTGCCCTGTCGGGAGAGACCCGACGCTCTCAGAACGAGGGCCGAATCCAGACTGAAAATTGGCCTCACTCCAGGAATGTCCCCAGTGCAAAAGGTTAACTGTCAGTCCCCTGCTAGGTATAAATAGAAGACTGCTCTCCAGAAAGGCGTGTCAGGAGGGGGGCGGCAGATTGGGGAGGGGAGAGGGTGTTCCCCCCTTATGATAGTGATCCTATTGATCCTAGTGACAGGCAAGGGTATATACTGTAGGTTCAGGGAGGGCGGTGGGTTTGGGAGGGTTGATAAGGGGTGAGAGTAAAGGGGAAAAAAGCTGAGTACATTATAATGAGAGTTGAGTCTGACAGGGCCTCAGACAAAATACTGTCTTGCTCTATTCAGCTTCCCCTGCCGCAGACGCAACAATAACAAGCCAGGCTAACCAAGCTTCCAATAGAGCAGCACATATGAAAACCATTGCTGTAGAGGTCATCTTGACACGTAGTATTTTTGTTGTCATCCAGTCTTGTAAACATACGTGGAGTTCAACGCCAGGTTGAGTGAGAATTAGGGCAGTGATTATTAAAATGGAAGAGAAAACATCCATTCTCTGAATGAAAACGGACAATAAAGTATTCCTCTTCCACTATAATACTGCACTTTGTGATTATTATACTCTAACCATACAATAGTTTATCCCTATAACACTCCTTGTCCTTGTACAACCAGAGAGAGAGATGACTCACTATGTTACTCAGCAACTCTTATTACACTTAAGCATCAGCTTAAATCTTAACCCTTACCTTAACACCTACCCATACCCTAACCTTAACCATAACCCTTACCCTTACCATTTTACATTTCTACTTCAATGGGGTAGGGATGTCCCAAGGATCCCGGACTTATTAGTGGTCAAAATTCAGAATAAAATAGTATCTACACTGAGTGTACAAAACATTAGGAACATGCTCTTTCCATGACATAGACTGACCAGGTGAAAGCTATGATCCCTTATTGATGTCACCTGTTAAATCCACTTAAATCAGTGTAGATGAAGGGGAGGAGACAGGTTAAAGAAGGATTTTCAAGCCTTGACAATTGAGACATGGATTGTGTATATGCGTCATTCAGAGGGTGAATGGGCAAGACAAAATATTTAAGTGCCTTTGAACGGGATATGGTAGTAGGTGCCAGGCGCACCGGTTTGAGTGTATCAAGAACTGCAATGCTGTTGGGTTTTTCACACAACAGTTTCCCGTGTGTATCAAGAATGGTCCACCACCCAAAGGACATCCAGCCAACTTGACACAACTGTGGGAAGCATTGGAGCCAACATGGGCCAGCATCCCTGTGGAACACTTTCGACACCTTGTAGGGGCCATGCCCCGACGAATTGAGGCTGTTATGAGGGCAAAGGGGGGTGCAACTCAATATTAGGAAGGTGTTTTTAGGAAGGTGTCATTTGCATACCTTGTCTGTTTGTATCAATTACATTTTCCAATGGTAACGTTACCAAAGGGGTAAACTCTCATACAAATACTGCATGCATTGGGCTCAAAAGATTAGTGCACAGAAATCATATTGTATCTGTCTGATTTCATTCTGCTAAGATATGTGGGCACAACAAAGTAGATATGGACATATCACTATGAGTTCTTTTATTTTCACTTGGATTCAAGGTAATAAAAATGATACACAGCTGAAATAAAAGAAACACACACTCACCCTCACTCTCTACACATTGAAATAATAGGTGCTTCAACCACCCCAATAATAAAGCTTCCTTTTCTCCTAGCAGCACACCAGGACTGCTTGCCAAATGGCACCCTATTCCCTATATAGTGCACTACTTTTGACCAGGTCCATATGGGCGCTGTTCAATTGTGCACTATATAGACGGGTTGGTTGTTAAGCAACAAAACCGACGCATGCGCAACTAGGGGGCAAAACAGACGGGGTTGGCTTAGATTGTTGACAACATGTAAGCTATATTTCATCTACAATGTTTATTGAAAACATAAATAAATTTGCACAATGAGCATTTGTTGTCTCTGAAATACACCGTTACAATTGTTGGTTAGCTAGCGCTAGCTAGCAAATTTTAGCCATATTAGCATTGACATGAAATCAATCAAAACACCTCAAGAACAAGATGAAACGAGCTGAAACGAGCCACTTACAATATTTTGTCTTGCCCATTCACCCAGTTTGTCATTCTTGCTAGCAATCTGGCCATTCAAAATCACAATAACACGCTGACTTCTGCCCCATGGAAGCACCCACATCATTTTCGTGACGGTTAGTTAACCCACCTATAGGGAATAGGGTGCCATTTGGCATGCACCCCTGAACCTGAGCAAAGATTCAAACCGAACCAGGCGTACCAACCAACCCCTCTGTCTTCCCATTTACTAATATTGAACTACTACGAGATTTTACAAACGGTTTGACACAATGTTTTTTTGTCTTCTCACGGTGAGAATAGTCATCGGTATACAGTCTAAGAAGGCAAGTAATTTCTGACACTTTTTGTTTTTACAAAAACTGCTGTTATTGCTAATTTTATGCTCATTTTCTATATCCACACTGCATATAATTCCACAGAGTCTCACCTCTTAACCATTTTCAGAAATAATAAATACAGAAGAATAGTTGGCTCAGGTATATATGCAATTGCACTTTTATTCCTCTAGACCCCCAACTATCGAACTAAATAGGTCTAGTGTGGTAATACCTGTCTGATTATAAAGGGAAGCATTTATACATGTAAGCAATATATAATTATGTACAAGTAATACAACTGAACTGGTATGGTAGTGACAAAAGCACTCAATTGTATAATACAAAGGCAATCACAGATTGCAAATCCTCAAGGCCGTAGTAAAAATGTCCTGTGCTCTCTCCTTCTCTTAATGTATGTTCCCAAACTTTAATGCCTAGTCTGGAAAATGGAAAATCAACCATTCATATACTAATTTGAGGGGTCATAGGTCAACTCCATGTGGCACACCATGTCCAGGAAGTCAGCCAAGAGGTGAGCTTTCACACCCGATCACATTCAGGTGCCTTTTTTTATCATTACTTATTTTACTGCAACTATGAATAAGCTAACTTATTGTAGCGTCATGGTACAGTCGTTCAAAACATGGTCACATCATATGTGATCTCACGTATATTTGGTTTGGGGGTTATAGGTGTTGGCATTCTTATTTCTCAGAGATAAATACTTATTTTGGTTAATTACATACAATATTGGGAACATACAATACATGTCATCGGTGACATACTGCTGGTCGCTGTCTCTGTGAGTGTCAGACATTTTTGCACAGCTCTGAAACGTTTCCCTTTTATGGTAATTGTGTACTCGGGCATAACAAAAAAGCAAACCTTTAGGACCACCTTTTTTCCTCGTCTTTCTGTTAAGACCTGTACACATCCACAAGCACGCGTGCACGCACACACCAGCAAAAAGCAAATAGTTCACTCTGAAACCAGTTAACTTTTCATTTCGAAGAACTGGAAGGTCAAATACTGTCCTGCCATAGTGAGTGAGGAGCTAGTGGCTAGAAGCTAGCCTAATGCTATATAGACCCAAACAGGGATAGCCTAGCGGCTAACTGCTAGCCTAAAGCTATATGGACCCAAACAGGGATAGCCTTGTGGCTAGCTGCTGGCCTTATGCTACATGGACCCTAATAGGGATAGCATAGCGTCTAACTGCTAGCCTAATGCAATTTGGACCCTAACAGGAATAGTCTAGCAGCTAACTGCTAGCCTAATGCTATCTGGACCCTAACAAGGATAGCATAGCGGCTAACTTCTAACCTAATGCTATCTGGAACCCGAACAGGAATGGGGGAAAGGTCTTTTGGCCACCAGGAGGTGCAGAAGTCATGGCACGTTAGGTAAAGGAGATTCTGGCTAGCTCTTTGTTATAATGCACAGAAAAGTAGTAAAAAAATAATGAGAGTCTCTTTTCTTTCAAACTGAAATGTCTCTCCCCATGATGTCAGACTTGGTTCCATTACGCTGGTTCTCCATATTGGTTGTCGTTCTTCTCGCTCCTCTTCAGCTGATCTCTGTTCAGTCGTTGTGCAGTTTCTCGACACCACCCTGAAGGGAGAGAGGGGAACCCCATGTTCAAATATAATGTACAACGTCTCTATCAATATCAGTAAACAGCATCTTCCTAAATGGCATGCTAAATGGCATATATTATTATATTATAAGCCGGGTGGTTCGAGCCCTGAATGCTGATTGGCTGAATGTCGTGGTATATCAGACCGTATACCATGGGTATGACAAACATTTATTTTTACTCTTCTAATTATGTTGGTAACGAGTTTATAAAAGCAATAAGGCACCTCTAGGGTTTGTGGTATATAACCAATATATCACGGCTAAGGGCTGTATCCAGGCTGTATCCAAAAGAACAGCCCTTAGCTATGGCATATTGGCCATATACCACACCCCCTTCGGGCCTTATTGCTTAATTGTACACTGAGTGTACAAAACATTAGGAACACCTTCCTAATATTGAGTTGCACCCCCTTTTGCCCTCAGAACAGCCACAATTCGTTGGGGCATGGCCCCTACAAGGTGTAGAAAGTGTTCCGCAGGGATGCTGGCCCATGTTGGCTCCAATGCTTCCCACAGTTGTCAAGTTGGCTGGATGTCCTTTGGGTGGTGGACCATTCTTGATACACACGGGAAACTGTTGTGCGTGAAAACCCCATCAGTGTTGCAGTTCTTGACACACTCAAACCGCTGCGCCTGGCACCTACTACCATATCCCATTCAAAGGCACTTAAATATTTTGTCTTGGCCATTCACCCTCTGAATGGCACACATACACAATCCATGTCTCAATTGTCAAGGCTTAAAAATCATTTTTTTACCTGTCTCCTCCCCTTCATCTACACTGATTTAAGTGGATTTAACAGGTGACATCAATAAGGGATCATAGCTTTCACCTGGATTCTAGTGGTCAGTCTATGTCATGGAAAGAGCATGTTCCTAATGTTTTGTTTACTTGTTATGGGTCCTTGCTACCCGGGATCCGTTTTGTACACTCAGTGTATCATCCACACTGTGGTAACATCCACAATGGGGATTGGAGAATAACATTATTGATGACTTTTACCTAAGGCTGAGTTCTGAGTCCTTACGTTCTTTACGGTAGACTATAGGACTATTCTACAGTGGATCATGGGGTCCTATGTATAGGCACAGCTGTGAGAAGATGATCCTACGTTGGGGTTGTAGTAAAATGTGATATTCCTTCCTCAAGGCCTCCCTTAACTGTATACAGTCTAGAAGAAAAAGTGCTCCCTCTCACTTCCCCGTTCCTCTCGATTTAGATCATCCTGTCAGAGCACTCACTCATGTGCTAAGCATATGTAGAACATACATCACAAAACTTAGAACAGGGGCTCTGTTCAGTTCATTTATTTGGCCTTATACAACCAGTTATATACAGTATAACTGGCTCCATAAACAGATATAGGCTACTGATGAAGGACTAAAGGAACAGCACATTGCTTTTAGCACTTTCAATAATGTTATTTATTAAGACAATATTTCAGCCATTTCAAACCTTTGGAAGCACAAAAAGCTGGGTGGAGTATTTTTTATATATTTTTTGTCAGATATCAAAAAAGTATGAGTCAGCTTCTCAACAGTTCAATCGCTGGTTTATCGAGAAACATGAAGCAAGATGCACGTTTCAAAAGACCGAAGGAAAGTTAAACAGTCTTAATCCATCTCACAGAGAGAGAGCGATCAAGAGTGAGAGGGAGGAAAAAAGAAAGAAAGAGCAAGCAAGGGCTCGTGCCAACTGCCAACATTTCAAACCCCATCAAACAAAAACAACAAGCTGCAAATGACCCTTTGGTACATTTGGCTCTAGGACTGGCTTTAAGACTGGCTCGCTACTGTGAAAAACAAAACAACATGCTTAATCTGTTTTCACACTTTAACTGAGTCAAACTGAATAATGGACATGACTGTGAAGAACTCTACACAGAATAAGGGCAGACTTTGGGCGTACACCTGATAAAGGCATTATAGCCGACATTGTGGTGTCAGGCTTTTTCTCTCACAAAAGTTTGTACCACATGAACATGTCAATGTGCTGTGTCAATGTGTTCATGTGCTTACAAACAAGCAGAATTTGACAAAGAAAATAGGGGGCAGGACTTACCATGGCTAGCTGGCGTCCTATGTTTCCTACAGTCACTCCTCCTGAGAAGAATATGCATGGAAGCCAAGAGCGCACATACAGAAAGTCTGGATACGTGTATCTACAAGAGAGGGAGAAAATACATCAAATTAAATGAACTATTTGCCCCAATAGTCAAATATAGCCCCAAATAAGACACGTGTCAAGTCCTAAAACAGGAATGGCAACTTAAACACAGAAGGGGGAAAAGCAGCATTATTAAAAATATATAAAATAATCTTGCCTCTCCTCCCTCTCTATCTCATCTCTCTCTCTTCCCTTCACTCAACAGAAGCTGTGGAGGCCTTTTGAACTCAGCTCTTTATAAGTCCCTCGCTGATTTATAAGTCCCTCGCTGAAGCAACCGAGTGCTCCTTCTCCCCAGGACGTTTTTCAAGAGGTGCCACATAGGCAGGTAGGAGGGCCAATAATTAGGCGTGGAGGCATGGGGGACAAAAAATTATTGCTTTCATTTCATCTGTCAGATCCTCTTTGATGGAATCAATCAGGTGACTGGGACCAGTTCCATAAAATATACTTAAATATGTCATTCACAAAGTAGATAGACATCTTTTCTTAAAAAGACACCTAATTTGATTCACTGGCTGTACTCAAACTATAAGGTAAGTAATGATACCATAATGTCCACGAAAAGATAACATAATAACATAATAATATGGTCCTGTGTAGCTCAGTTGGTAGAGCATGGCACTTGCAACGTCGGGAATATGGGTTCTATTCCTGCTGGTGCCACCCATACGAAAAATGTATGCTTTGAATAAAAGTGTCTCCTAAATGGCATTTATTATTATTATTATTATTATTATTATTATTATGATGTCACCAAAATATCCTATCCATGCATTTTTTACAGTTCATGCTACATGGTCAATCCGACATCTGCATTGGCCATGCAGCATTTACTCTGATACGGCCTCTGCAGAAGTCAGGGCATTCATACTTCTTGCGCCTCGCAGAGCAGTGCAGAGCTGTTGAGAAGAGCTGTTGTGAAGGAAGTTGTCAAGGAAGTGAGTTTGTGTTTATACAGGACCTCCCGCCCCCACCTACCACCTACCACCTACCACCTACCATCAACCAATAATTTCAATGAGGGGCTATACGGAGCCCTCCGCATTGTTACAAGATTTGGGAGGCGCACAGCGATGCAGTAGAGCTCAATTTGACCTCTGCTTACCTCCGGAGGCGCCGCAATTGCGTCACACCCTCCATACGGAGTCTCCAACCACATTTTTGGATCAAGCATAAATTGGCTCTTAGTGTAACATGGAAAAATTAAAGCGTGACTTGACTTACTGATAGACACCGTTGTAGACCAGCAGCTGTGTGATAACGGTGGCAAGGAATGCCGTCCCAATGCCCAGGCCGAAGCCACTCCTCGAGCGGTCAAACGTCCACCACAGTCCCAGGGACAGGGCAGCCAGGGTCAGGGACAGCTGGACATTATTGGCAAAGTCTAGTTTCTGTGAAATGGAGCAGTTAAGGGCAAAATATGACTATTTGTTTGCATAGGTTCCAATCTGGCCTACTGACCTTTGACACAACCTCTCCCTATCTTTCCCTACTGTGATCCTCTCTCAGTATCTGCTCAGTAAAAAAATCACTTAAAATATGTAAAATAAAATAAAAAATAAAATATTGTATTTGTTTGACTGTTGCATCGAAGTGTGGGTGGCACAAGCAGTGTATGTTTGAAGCAACTGTAAGTTCCATACATACTTGGAAAGTATGTCAAGGAGTCAAAACAAGCAGGAATGCAGTTGGGACAGTCACTGACACTGACACTAGATGAATTGCCTTTAAGGCTGTAAAAGTAGCAAAACGACAGTGGAGTGTACAGTGCCACCTCTTCCTATACGCAGACTACATACTGCGCGTTTGGCCCAGAGGTCGCTAGGGGGCCCTCGACCAATTAAAAGGAACTCCGTCGGGGTCTCAACTTACAAAAATTTGGTAGTGCATCAGCAGTTTTCCACTTGTTATGTCAGTCACTCAATTAGCCCATGTCAGCTAACATTTTTTAGATTTCTAGGTAAGGTAGTCTAGCCAGCTATCTAAACCTTGCAGTAGGCCTAATCATCACCAATTCACCAACCGGGCACACAGGGCATGTGCTCAGGGGCCCCCATTGATTTTGTTGGTCCATCTCACACAGATATCATATGAACATGGAATAAGTAATGGCAAAATGTGAAGAATTGCAGAAAATATCCTTTAAAACTGCAACACTTTCTCTACACCCCATGGCAAAATGTGTAGAATTGCAGGAAAGAAATGTGTGCACTAAAAAATTAACAACATCCACTGCCAAGAGGGGAGCATTAACACGTTTTGCCCGCGAGGTGGGGGGGGGGGGGGGGGGCCTCCCGACCAAATCTTTCTTAGGGCCCCCAAAAGGCTACAGAGTATATCAAACTAATCACAGAATGTTACTCAATTATGTATTACACATTTATTAGGCCACAACATCATTGTTTAAGCTCTGGACGTGATAAACATCACTGGTGTAAATATGTGTCAGTCCTTCTCTAGATTGAAGACAGCTTTAACATGAGAGAGTGCACATTGTGACATTGTTGTTGTTTAGAAAGGATACAGCACTGGCGTGGTTGATGCCAACGAATACTGCAATGCATCTCATGACACTGGCCCATTCCCTTTTGAACTTGTGGGGCTCTCCTAGATGGCTGTCGATGCAGGGGTATAGCAGGCCAACAACAGCTACAGAAAGAAGATTTGAGTTAGTACATCACTGAATAGCCTACATACAAATCAAACTGGCTCATGTTGTTTTAAGGGCTTGAAAATGTTGCATTTGAGTTTCAATTTTGGGGGGAAAACATGACATAAGTTAAACAAACAACAAGATTGCTTTCTACTTTCACTTTCAGGCACATGATTATTTCTCTCTTATAAGTAATTGCACAAACATGTCTGCAACCGACTGATAATAGTCTCCAACATTTTTGACATTCTTATTTATTTTAAGTGTGAATCATTGTAGCCTACTTCTTAAGAACATGGGGGAGGGGTTGGTGTTGAAAATCATTTATTTAATTCTGACTGCACAGTGCACACGACTTCCTTGTTTCTCTTTTTCGGTAGTGGCATGTTCGAGGCAACAGCCAATTATGGACCGCCTCCACAGCTCACCCGTTATGAAAGCAGCCAATGAAAAAACAGCACACCCCTTATGACCCTCTATGTCCGGCTGTTTCTAGGGAAGCCTATTGGAGCAAATGGAGGGCAATATAAATACTACTGTATATTTTTCCCAGACAAAACACTCATCATTATATGGCCTCATGGCTGCGAGAACACATACATAATGGATATATAGGACAATAACAATGATGGAAGAAACTGTAAATGATTATGTAGCCCAGGCTGTAGTTAGTAGAATATAATGGCATCATGAAACACACAAGCACCCCCCTTAAAAGCCCAATTCACATTCCTTTCTCCAAATTAGAAGTAGGCCTACATAACAACCTCATTCATTCATACAGAATGATAAACTCAAGATAACCTATAGGTTTAGGAAAAGTGACAACTCACCAGCTGCCGTGCCGCAGCAAGGGGGAATCCACCACGCCGATGAAAACAAAGTTGCCATCACCTCTTCGGGAAACAAAGTCACATTTCTTTGAACCTGTAGCAAGTTGAGCACCAATGCAAGAAAGACTCCCACGGTGAAAAGGACGAGACCCCGTCTGATCAAGTTTCCTGTTTGCACACTGTGCAGTGAGCCGTATACATTGCTAAGCACTGATGTGATAATTGACATCATTTCTTCAGCCTTCGATTCGACCCAGTTTTCCCTAGAATAATTCTTAGATTCCACCCTCGATGTACAGGAGCGACTCCAGCAGTGTTCTTCTAGTCTTGGCATTTGCCACTTCAGCGCTGGAGAACAACAGATGCGTTATTAGATTGTAGCTAACACAGGTATGCCTCATTAAATTGCATCTAATCTAAGACTGGTGGTGTCTACTGTCTAGACTGAACTTTGCCACAATCTTACTATGATTAGCCTATCAATTGGCAATAGCAAAGCAGAAATAATCGATCTCTTCTTACCTTGATCTCCAGACGTTCCCACTGTCTGATCGAGCGAGAGCCGACTTAGTTCATTCGCACCTCGACAATGCTGTGCGTTTTGCTGCTCTCAGACTGTTATCACGTTGTTAAGTCACATCATCGTTTGGGTGAGAGAGGAAAAGCTTCTATATCATTCCTAACCGCAGACCTCATAGCAGAGACAGGCTTCCTCTGCAGAAAACAGTCACAGCTGTGTCGGGTGAGTAGTGTCGGCCAATGGGAGCAAGGCGGGCGATATGACGCGACGCCACCCCACCCGCCCCCTCGTTCAGGACAGCCACAAGATGCTGGCGCTTGCGTTCATGCAGTCTGTCTGCATTCGTGGAAGGGTGGAGTAGGATACGCAAACCAGTGACTTACTTCAAACAAAGTGAGCAAAACATCCAATTGAAAACGAAACAAACGTATTCTATAGTCATACCGATTAAGCAGGTTTACATAGGCCTACTTCAACAGGCAGGCCTTGTTTAGTTTGATAGTTCTTAAAGACCATCTACCCAACATAAAATACCCCCCCCCAGCTCAAACCTTCCAGGCAGGTTGGTGAAAACCAGGTCAGCCGGACAGCTTCATCCAATGACTGTCGACCCAGGCCAACCCAGCCCAACAGTAGGTTGGGTAGGGGGGGAATGACAGAAGTGTACAAAGTCAACCTATCATCTGACCCCAACGGCCAGACATAACGTCACCAGATGGGGTCAATGCCTGGATAACCCCCAGGTCTCAGGTACTAATTCTGACAACAAAGAAACATGTTTGAAAGGTATATGTGACCCAGTATTCTAAATGATTACACAATCCACCTGCAAAATAAAGGTGCAAGTTGGAACCAAATAAGGTTCTCGAGAGCAATGCCATAGGGGAACCATTTTAGGATCTCTGAAGAACCATAAATAAGATGGTTCTTTGAAGAACCATACAAAAATACCAAACCAGAAATGTTTTGGCCCACCAGGTCCAGAATTGAACAGCTGTAGGGTTTTAAGCCTTATTTGCATATTTCCCAGGGTGCCATTCGAGTGAATTTTAGAGTTACCAGTACCACCCATGACTGTGTTTGATAGTGACAGAGACATGGTTGTTGCATTCGTTCATTTACAGTCCTGTGGCCTTCACCAAGTGAGATCCTAAGTGAATATGTTGTCATTAAAATTTAATTATTTAGGACAATACATATTTCATAAGGCCTTCTTTTGATAGTGTAGTTCTACCATATTGCAGTGGCCTGACACTCATAGTTTACAGGCCACATCAAGCCTGCAAATCATGTTATCCTGGCTTGCAAAGCAATGTGTAATTCCTATTGGAATTCAGCCAGAGTGGGGATAGCCAACGTTTGGGATTATTATTCAGGGCTGGGAAGACTAAGATATGAGACTACCTTAAACATCTGAACTGGAACAATCATTTCAGTAACAGGTGCAACAAGTAACAGATTGGAATAGTCTAGAAAAATATGTTATTTATATTTGAGTAGCATAAGATTAATTAATCAATCAATGTACATGCAAATACATAGATATTGAAATAAACAATTCTTAAAATCAACCTGCAATAGAGCATGCTGGGAAATATGATAATGATGGGTGTCGTTTGGTTCAACTCTGGTTATTAACACTGTTCCAGTGTCTATATGGGTCCACAGACTAAACACTTTCAGTGTTGATTTAAATCTCTCATTTATTTTTATTAACACTGGAGAATTTGCCGTGTCTAAATATACACTGAGTATACCAAACATTAGGAACACCTTCCTAATATTGAGTTGCACCCTCCCCCCTTTTGCCCTTAGAATAGCCTCAATTCGTTGGGACATGGACTCTACAATGTGTAGAAAACGTTCCATAGGGATGCTGGCCCATGTTGACTGCAATGCTTCCCACAGTTGTGTCAAGTTGGCTGGATGTCCTTTGGGTGGTGGACTATTCTTGATACACTCAGGAAACTGTTCAGCGTGAAAAACCTAGCAGTGTTGCAGTTCTTGACACAAACCGGTGCGCCTGGCACCTACTACCATATCCCGTTCAAAGGCACTTAAATCTTTTGTCTTGCCCATTCAACCTCTGAATGGCACACGTACCCAATCCATGTCTCAGTTGTCTCAAGGCATAAAAATCCTTCTTTAATCCTGTCTCCTCCCGTTCATCTACACTGATTGAACTGGATTTAACAAGTGACATCAATAAGGTATCATAGCTTTCACCTGGTCAGTCTATGTCATGGAAAGAGCAGGTGTTTTTAATGTTTTGCTTTCTCAGTGTACATGTTCAACGCTAATAACAGAATTCTATCAGAGAAATTCTCATGGTTGATGGAAATGTTTTTATATGTTTCCTTTGTTTGATGTTTCTATCAACAGGGACTCCATTGTTGTCAGATTACACACAGTAACAATCTTGTTATAAACAAATAAATACATTTACTGTCTGTTTCAGAAGTTGCTTTGAAGCTGATATTTGGATGGCAACCCGAACCCTAATCCCCTCAACAGTGCCTCAGTGCAAATAAGCATACTGATGATTAACTCATTCTGTGTATCCGCAGTACCTAAAACCAAAAAAACAACACAGAAAACTACCCTGAGACATATACAGTAAACAAGTACTTTAAAAAATGATTTTAATTCAACTTAATTTAAAATAAATCAGATCTGATTAATGCAGTTTGTGCGTTTTGGCTGCCAAACTAGCTCTAGGTTAAGAAGCCACACACTTAATTTCGGTAGCCAATTTGCATGAAAACGATGATTCACCCATGGTATTGCATTCAACAAAGTGCCAGTAGCTAGTGAGCAAACACTAGCCATATTTTTGAAGTTCTTGGCTGATAATTTGGATAAATCCACTGAACTATTTTGGTTAATCCCCTGGGTAAATATCTTAATTTCATCCAATACACTTTCACTTGCAAATTGACTTGGCATGAAATTGTCTCTATTATGTGTGAATGTAGATTTTATTTGTTGATGTGACTTATTTCAAATATGTGGGAATTTCTCCTTAGGAATTAATGCGAAATAAATTATGACAGCAGTTTCAAAGCGTAATGACATATTCCTGCTCCTGTGTGTGTTGTGTTATGAACAATAACAATATTTTTCAAAAGTTCAAGAGTCCCCCCCCAAAAAATATGCCAAAGGCCCTGCTGCAGACAAACACTTACACGATGTCAAATATAACGTTACACAGTAAAAAAAATCCTGTTGTTTTTACGCTAACTTACTGGCAGTTACTTTTTCCAAAGAAACTTTAGTTTAACAGTACATTACTGTAAACTTTACATTGTGTATGTGTTTATCTACATTTCAGGGACTAACCAAGTTATTAGTACATAGAAAAAAAGAAAGGTTCTTAAATGGTTCTTCCTCAGCTCTTAAGGTTCCTTGGAGAACTATTGCCCGATAAATAACCTTTGAGTTAAGTGTGGGGTTCTTGACACGGCATCTACAGTTCTTCAGCCTTCTAAGCCTGCAGATGTGTCCCTTTCATAGCCCAAAGCAAATTGGCCAGTGTTAACTAGTGTTGATTTTTCAGTGTAAAATTTCTAGTGTTAATTCAATAGTTACATTAACACTGTAAAGAGTTAAATTAACACTCAGTGGTGTAAAATAACCTCAGTGTTGGTGTTAAATGTATACAGTACCAGTCAAAAGTTTGGACACACCTACTCATTCCAGGGTTTTTCTTTATTTTTACTATTTTCTACATTGTTGAATAATAGTGAAGACATCAAAATTATGAAATAACACATGTAAAATCATGTAGTATCCAAAAAAGTGTTAAACAAATGAAAATATATTTTATATTTGAGATTCTTCAAAGTAGCCACCCTTTGCAGCTTTGTACATCCTTGGCATTCTCTCAACCAGCTTCATGAGGTAGTCACCTGGAATGCATTTCAATTAACAGGTGTGCCGTTGTTAAAAGTACATTTGTGGAATTTCTTTCCTTCTTAATGTGTTTGAGCCAATCAGTTGTGTTGTGACAAGGCAGGGGTGGTATACAGAAGATAGCCCTAATTGGTAAAAGACCAAGTCCATATTATGTCAAGAAGAGCTCAAATAAGCAAAGAGAAACGACAGTCCATCATTACTTGAAGACATGAAGGTCAGTCAATACGGAACATTTCAAGAACTTTTAAAGTTTCTTCAAGTGCAGTCGCAAAAACCATCAAGCGCCATGATGAAACTGGCTCTCATGAGGACCGCCACAGGAAAGGAAGACCCAGAGTTACCTCTGCTGCAGAGGATAAGTTAATTAGTTACCAGCCTCAGAAATGGCAGCCCAAATAAATGCTTCACAGAGTTCAAGTAACAGACACATCTCAACATCAACTATTCAGAGGAGACTGCATGAATCAGGCCTTCATGGTCAAATTGCTGAAAAGAAACCACTACTAAAGGACACCAATAAGAAGAAGAGACTTGCTTGGGCCAAGAAACATGAGCAATGGACATTAGACTGGTGGAAATCTGCCCTTTGGTCTGATGAGTCCAAATTTGAGATTTTTGGTTCCAACCACCGTGTCTTTGTGAGACGCAGAATAGGTGAACGGCTCGTCTCCGCATGTGTGGTTCCCACCGTGAAGCATGGAGGAGGAGGAGGTGTGATGTTGTGGGGGTGCTTTGCTCGTGACACTGTCTGTGATTTATTTAGAATTCAAGGCACACTTAACCAGCATGGCTACCACAGCATTCTGCAGCGATACGCCATCCCATCTGGTTTGCACTTAGCGGGACTATCATTTGTTTTTCAACAGGACAACGACCCAAAACACACCTCCAGGCTGTGTAAGGGCTATTTGACCAAGGAGAGTGATGGAGTGCTGCATCAGATGACCTGGCCTCGACAATCACCCGACCTCAAATTGAGATGGTTTGGGATGAGTTGGACTGCAGAGTGAAGGAAAAGCAGCCGACAAGTGCTCAGCATACAGTGAGGGAAAAAAGTATTTGATCTCCTGCTGATTTTGTACGTTTGCCCACTGACAAAGAAATGATCAGTCTATAATTGTAATGGTAGGTTTATTTGAACAGTGAGAGACAGAATGACAACAACAAAATCCAGAAAAAGGCATGTCAAAAATGTTATAAATTGATTTGGATTTTAATGAGGGAAATAAGTATTTGACCCCCTCTCAATCAGAAAGATTTCTGGCTCCCAGGTGT